ACTGCCTGTTTCTCTAGCTTCCCGCCCTTAAAACTCTTGAGAGGAACTGTAAACGAAAGGCCCCTTTTTGCAGTCCAAGAAAAGGGAATCAACCCACCCCCCCCTCATTTCCCTTTCTTCAGGTTTTCCTTGTCATAAATCTTTTAGTAGGTTTTTTTGACACAGGATTTTTCCTTCCATAATCCGGGGCTTTGGGTTGGGCTTTTTTAATCCTTGTTTTTTGCTTTAAGATCCCCCCCCTCCCTCCCGATAATCTTTTTTTCCCAAAACTTTTCCCTCAACATTTTAGTGACACTTTTCCCATAATTAGACTTTCATTTCTGGGCTCCCCTTTTTTAAAGATGGGGACAAATTTGCCTTCTTCCATACTTTTAGGGAGTTGCCCCGTTTTTAAGGGGAAATTTTTTAAGAATTTTTGGGAAGTGGGACCCGAGTGTTCCCCCGCTCCCTCTCGAAGGACCCACAGAGAGATGGGCCGGGCCCCCAGCCTTTGAGGGATCAAGGTCACTTAGGAGCTTTTTCCCCCCTTTTCATTTTTTGTGTAATTTTATCCAACACTTGTTGGTTAAAAATCTCTTGTTGATGTATGCCACTGTTTTTTTCCTTCCCCCTTTTCCCTTCCCTCCTACACTGTAAATACTTCCTGAAATCTCATTTTTGACCCCTCACATAAACCCCCGGGTCGTTTCTTGTGATCTCCCCACCCCTTTTGTTTCCTTTGGCCCCGATTTAACCCCGGTCCTTGACCTGGGGCTTCCTCCTGATGTGGCTGTAGACTAGTTTTGGGTCAGACTTGACTTTTGATGCTTTGTCATTTTCATATTGCTGCAGCGCCTCCCTCCTTATCTGTGCATACTCGTTTCTGGCTCGTCGACTAATCTCTTTATTCTCCTTAGTCCTTTGCTTTCTGTACTTTTTCCATTTTCTAGAGCACTTACTTTTGCCTCCCGGCACCTTCGGGTAAACGAAGGGCTCATTCTGTCCTTCCTATTATTTCTGTTACCCTTGGGAACAAACCTTTCCTATGCCTCCTTGCATTTTGTTGTTACAAAGTCCATCATTTCGTTTACTGATTTCCCTACCAACTCCTGTTCCCACTGAACCTCCTGTAGGAAGGTTCTCATTCCTGTGTACCCCCCCCCTTTTATAGTTCAGCTTTTCGCTTTCTACTCCTGTTACCCTCTCCACTTTTAGCTCCACGATGTATTCAAAGCTCATAACTACGTGGTCACTAGCTCCAAGGGACCTTTCATATGTGATGTGCTCAATGTCTGAGCTACTCATGGTGAACACTAGGTCCAGTCTTGCTGGTTCATCCTCCCCTCTCTCTCTGGTAGTGTCCCTAACATGTTGGTGCATGAGATTTGCCAGCACCACATCCATCATCTTGGCTCTCCATGTTTCGGGACACCCATGTGGCTCCAGGTTTTCCCAGTCAGTCTCCCTGTGATTGAAGTCGCCCATGGCCAGTAACTTCGCTCTACTCGAGTGAGCTCTTCGTGCCACCTCAGCCAGTGTGTCCACCATTGCTCTTTTGCACTCATCATATTCCTCTCTTGGCCTCCTGCAGTTCTGTGGTGGGTTATACATCAATGCAATGACTACCTTGTGTTTCCCTGACTGAACTGTACCTATTATGTAATCCCTTTCTCCAATCTCGTCCATTCTTTCCATTTCATGATAACCCCACTGGTTTTTTATTAGTAGTGCAACCCCTCCTCCCCCCCTGCTCCTTCTATCCTTCTTCAGGATCTGATAGCCGGGTGGGAAGATTGCATCTGTTATTATCCCAGTGAGCTTTGTTTCTGTAACCGCTACAATTTCAGGTGACATCTTGATTCTTTCATGCCACTCCTCACATTTATTCATTATTCCATCTGCGTTGGTGTACCAAACCTTCAACTTCTTTTCAATAACTGTGGTCTGGGGAGAGAGGTGGGTTAGGGGGAGCACGTGCCCTGGCAGGGGCCTATAGGGGTTGGAGTGGGGGTGGGGTCTGTGGTGTGGGGTGTAGGGGAGAGGGCCTATGGGGGGTTTTCAGTCGGGGTGGGATGGTGATGAGGGGGATGGGAGGAGAGGGCCTATGGGGGTTACAGTGGGGGAGGGATTGTGGTGAGGGGTGGGGATAGAGGGTACAGTGTGTGGGTTACTATGGGTTTCTGTGGGGGTGGGGGTTGAGCTGATGGGGATGTGTGGTTATTGAGGGTCACTGTGTTGGGGGGGTTTTTATGCAGAGGGGATGTGTGGGTTACTGTGGGTGTCTGTGGGGGTGGGGTTTGCACTGAGGGGGATGGGGGCAGTGGGGTTTGTGCTGATGGGGATGGGGGTAGAGGGTACAGTGAGTGGGTTTTGGGTTAGGTCGTTTGATTGCTTTGGAATTGCCTTGGTTGTGTTCCTTCTGTGGGTGGTACTGGAGGGGATTGTGTTTGTTCTTCCATGTGGGCCTGATTTCCTGTGCTCTCCACCTTCTTTGCCTCCCATTCCTCCTTGTGACGTTGCACTCTCTCTTTCAGTGCCATCCTTTCTTTGTGTTCTGTCTCAGTCAAGCTACACACTCCGGAACTCCTGATTGTCCCTTAGGCATGCTTTCTCCTGCAGGATCCGGTTTTGAGTTGATTCTTCCTTGAAGATCACTTTGACTGGACGCTTTTTTCCCCCGGCAAACCACCCAATTCTCTGAAAATTTGTCAGCTGGGTCATGTCGTCCTCTCTTATTGCTTTCATGATGCTTTCAATCATTTTTTTCTCCTCCTGTTTCCTTGCCTCATAAGTTTCCCCATCTACTTCTTGGAGCCCATAGAAAAAACGGCCCTCTCCCTTTCATCCTCCCACTGTGCTTCCCTGAGCATCTTCTTATTCGAATTAGTTCCTGCTATTGACGCGTTGCTTCTTACTGTCTCTTCCCTATCTGGTGTCCTTGTGCTTATCTCTGCCTGGGCATGGCAGTTGGCTGTTAGAGCCTCTGTGTATAGTTTAGCTCCTTCATTGACTTTAGGCCCCTTATTAGTTCTTTAGGCCCCTCATTAGTTCTCTAGGCCCCTCATTAGTTATTGCTGTTCTCCCTGCCTTTTCCCAGGCCCCCCTTGGATCCGATGGAGTCATCGCATAGAGTATATCTCCTTTGTTCCCTACTGTCCCCTCATCGGTGACTGATGTAGTAGCTCTTGGTGTCATTGCTGTACTGTCCTTTGGTACTATGGGGTGTTTCAGACTCTTTAGTTCTTCTACTAAGCTCTGTATCTTAGCTTCAGCTGCTGTGATTTGTAATTCCCATTTCCTGCCCTCCTCAGCTATTTTCTCTTCCATTTTCTTGCTGATCTCTTCCAGCCTCTTCCCCCACTCCTCCTCTCTTTGTGTGAACTGTGCCTCCCATTCTTCTCTCCCAGGTCCACCACTCGCTTCATCCACCATTCCTCTGGTTCTCCGTCCAGGTTTATGGTGTCCCATGTTTCTTTTTCACAAAAGGAAGAGTTTGCGCCAAGAGTGGTGGGGAGGGTGGTGTTTGCTGTGGGTAGAAAGGGGGTGTTTATTGTGGGGGGGAGGGAGGAGGAGACAGGGAGGGGAAAACGATAGGGAGCTGGAGGGGGGAAAACAGCAGCAGAGGGAAGAGAGATGGGGGGGAAGACTAAGGGGGACAGGGGGAAGAGCAATGGGGGGGGGAGGGGAGTAGAAGGAGTAGGGAGGATGAGGGGGAGGATGAAGAAGGAGAGAAAGTAAGTTAAAGAGAGATAGGGAGTGTGGTTGAGTGTGAGATACTCACCTAGTTGTACTCACCTAGTTGAGGTTGCAGGGGTAGAGTACTAGCTCCTGGCCCCGCCTCTTCACTGGTCGCTACTAGGTCACTCTCCCTGTACCGTGTGCTTTATCATACCTCTGCTTAAAGCTATATATGGATCCTGCCTCCACTACATCGCTTCCCAAACTATTCCACTTCCTGACTACTCTGTGACTGAAGAAATACTTCCTAACATCCCTGTGATTCATCTGTGTCTTCAACTTCCAACTGTGTCCCCTTGTTTCTGTGACCCCTCTCTGGAACATCCTGTCTCTATCCACCTTATCTATTCCACACAGTATTTGGTATGTCGTTATCATGTCTCCCATATTTCTCCTGTCCTCCAGTGTCGTCAGGTCGATTTCCCTTAACCTCTCCTCGCAGGCCATACCCCTTAGCTCTGGGACTAGTCTTGTTGCAAACCTTTTCGCTTTCTCTAGTTTCTTTACGTGCTTAGCTAGGTGTGGGTTCCAAACTGGTGCCGCATACTCCAATATGGGCCTAACGTAGACGGTGTACAGGGTCCTGAACGATTCCTTATTAAGATGTCGGAATGCTGTTCTGAGGTTTGCTAGGCGCCCATATGCTGTAGCAGTTATTTGGTTGATGTGCACTTCAGGAGATGTGCCTGGTGGGGTTGAACTCCAGGAGCCAATTGCTGGACCAGGTCTGCAGTCTTTCCAGATCCCTTTGTAGTTCTGCCTAGTCTTCGATCGAATGAATTCTTCTCATCAACTTCACGTCATCTGTGTGTGTGTGTGTGTGTGTGTGAGTGTACTCACCTAATTGTACTCAACTAATTGTGGTTGCAGGAGTCGAGACTCAGCTCCTGGACCCGCCTCTTCACTAATCGCTACTAGGTCCTCTGTCTCTCTCTCTGCTTCCTGAGTTTTGTCATACCTCGTCTTAAAACTATGTATGGTTCCTGCCTCCACTACGTCACTTGCTAGGCAATTCTACTTCCTGACGACTCTATGACTGAAGAAATACTTCCTAACATCCCTGTGACTCGTCTGAATCTTCAGCTTCCAATTGTGACCCCTTGTTTCTGTGTCCCATCTCTGGAACATCCTCTGTCCACCTTGAGTGTGTTTGTGTGTGTGTGTGTGTGTGTGTACGCACCTATTTGTGGTTGCAGGGGTCGAGTCACAGCTCCTGTGTGTGTGTGTGTGTGTGTGTGTGTGTGTGTGTGTGTGTGTGTGTGTGTGTGTATGTGTGTGTGATCATGCACGATGCTTGATATTACTATTCAGTTAATGAAGAAACACTTATTAATACCTGGTCTAATTTATCTCAGTATCAGAAGATACAAGTTGAGTGAAGCATATAAGGACACGAGAGCTTTCCTCAAGCTAACTGACAATGTCTTCAACCAAATACTTGAAAGTTCGGAGAGTAAACTGAAAGATGCTCGAGATATATTAACACGGATCCAAAAGAGAGATCTATACAAAACTGTTGCTGAAAAATTGCTGCCTCCAAATTTTGATGAGTCGAAGGTAAGAATAATACATTTTCTGCCACAGTAATTGTTCTCTAGCATGCACTATTTTTTAATACTTTTACTTTGAAATTATTGTAAATTTCAATTTTATTGACAAGAGTGAGAGAGAATTCAAATCATTATATGTACAGTACTTAGTAGCAGCGGCGCTCTTCTGTTGCAAGAGCAAAATCAACTTAAGTTTAATTTCATATTGTTTCATTATCCATTATCTCGGTAGCTCCCCTTTAAAAATAAAAAATAAGTAACTAATCACCGTCATAAATATTACTGCTCATGTTCCCTCCAATTCATACTGTCTAAAAGTAAAAAAAAAATTTATTTAATGAATAATACTCATTTCGACAAAATATTTTTGCTGTGTCATTCCCCAGCCAAGTTGCAACATTGTCAGTCATTACCACCCATATAAAACTGTATCTCAGTATTTATCATTTTAGCTTTTATCATCTATTCACAAACTTCTCTCTTCCACTGACTGCTCAACACTAACACAGTGCCATCAGCAAAAAGCAACTGTAACAACTCCCACTTTGTATTACGTAGATTCTTAATTGTTTAATCCCATACCTCTCCCCAGCACCCTAGTATTCACTTCTTTTACAATCCCATCAATAAATATGTTAAACAACCATTGAGTCAACAATCATCCCTTTGTGAGGTCTACCTTTACTGCAAAATAATCTCCCACTCTCTTACATTCCGGAAACTGAGCCTCACTTATTCCCCCCCAAAATTCTTTTAAACTCTCTATCAGTTTTTTCATACATTCATGTAAACAAAAACACCAACTACTTCAAACTTTCCCCTCCTCTTTTAAAAATTTCATATTGTTTTCTAAAATTTCCCGGGCTGTTTTTTTCCTCTTTCATTTTTCCAAGTGCTCACGCACCCCCCCACTCACTTCCCGGGTCTTCCTCACTCCTAATGGATGGGAAAAATTTGTCCAATACTTGAATCACTGCCATCACATCAAAATTTTTCAGCTCCGAAAAAAAACCCTCATCTTCACAGTATAACATATATATTATTGATTATAAAAATATATAATATATATATATATATATAAAATATTAATATATATTAAAAATATATATATATAATAAAATATAATACAAATATATTTATTAACAAACTGGCCGATTCCCACCAAAGGAGGTGGCCAAAAAGAAAAAATTTTACCATCATTCACTCCCTCACGTCTTCCAGAAGGGCCTTTTTCACTACAGTTCCCAAAAATCCAACATTTAAACCCCCTCCTTTTAAGTGCAGACACGTACTTTTCCATCCCGGGGCTCAAGCCGGCCCGCCGTTTTTCCCGAATCCCTTTATAAATGTTAAATTTTTTCACCTCAACAGCACGTCAAGTATTAAAAACCATTTGTCTCCTTCATCCATCAAACACGCTCACCATGCCCCTGGAAGTCCCCAAACCCCTCGCACACAAAACTTTCCTTAAACCCCCCCCTCCAATCATTCTGATTCGCTCCCCTTCCTCTGCATGTCCCAACCACCTCAAAAAAACCCCCTCACCCTCTGGACAAAATTTTTTCAATCCCGCAACCTTTTTAACTTCCCCAAAATAAGAATTTTCCCGCATTAACACACAACACATTGCCCCAAAAACATCCCACTGCCTCCAGCCTTCTCCTCGCTCAACATCATTATTATGCTTTTACACCTATAAAACGTTGGAAAACTATACTCTCATACATTCCCTCTTTTCTTCCAAAGGACAAAGTCTCCACAACCCTAAGTGCACCATCACCCTTTTGCCCTCACAATTCTATTTTCACCTAACTTTCACAACCCATCCTGACACGCCCCCCAAATTTTTAAATACATTCACCTCCTCCATACCCCTCCCCTCCAACGTATCCACTTTCATACCAATCTTTTTGATATCCTCCTAACCTTCCTTTCCTGTATTCATTTTAAATTTTTTTCTTTTACATACCCTACCAAATTCACCCACCAACCTCTGCAATTTCCTTCAGAATCACCCAAGAGCAATGTCATCAGCAAAGAGCAACGTGACAACTCCCCCCTTTTTGTGGATTCTTTTTCTTTTAATCCCCCCTCTTGCCCAAAACCCTCGCATTTTTTTCTTTTTACAACCCCCTCTATAAATATATTGAACAACCCACGTGACATCACACCCTCCTTTCTAAGGCCTACTTTTTCTGGGGAAAAATTTCCATCTTTCTACAACTCTAACTTGAGCCTCACTATCCTCGTAAAAACTCTTCACTGCTTTCAGTAACCTACCTCCTATACCATACATCTGCAACATCTGTCACATTGCCCCCCTGTCCACCCTGTCACACGCCTTTTCCAAATCCATAAATGCCACAAAAACCTCTTTACCCTTATCTGAATAGTGTTCACCTATATGTTTCACTGTAAACACTTGGTCTACACACCCCCTACCTTTCCTAAAGCCTCCTTGTTCATCTGCTATCCTACTCTCCGTCTTACTATTAATTCTTTCAATAATAACTCTACCATACACTTTACCAGTTATACTCAACAGACTTATTCCCCTATAATTTTTGCACTCTCTTTTATCCCCTTTGCCTTTATTCAAAATAACTATGCATGCTCTCTGCCAGTCCCAAGGTACTTACCCTCTTCCATACATTTATCAAATAAAAGCACCAACCATTCCAGAACTAATCCCCACCTGCTTTTAACATTTCTATCTTTATCCCATGAATCCCAGCTGCCTTACCCCCTTTCATTCTACCCACTGCCTCACGAAATTCCCCCACACTCACAACTGGCTCTTCCTCACTCCTACAAGATGTTATTCCTCCTTGCCCTATACAAGAAATAACATCTTCCCTATCCTCACCAACATTTAACAATTCCTCAAAATATTCCTTCCATCTTCCCGATACCTCTAACTCTCCATTTAATAACTCTCCTCTCCTGTTTTTAACTGTCTAATCCATTTTTCCCTAGGGTTCCTCAACTTATTAATCTCACTCCAAAACTTTTTCTTATTTTCAACAAAATTTGTTGATAACATTCCACCCACTCTCTCATTTGCTCTCTTTTTAGATTTCTTCATCACTCCCTTAACCTCTCTTTTTCTCTCCATATACTCTTCCCTCCTTTCATCACTTCTACTTTGTAAAAACCTCTAATATGCTATCTTTTTCTCCCTTATTACTCTCTTTACATCATCATTCCACCAATCGCTCTTCTTCCCTCACACACCCACTTTCCTGTAACCACGAAATTCTGCTGAACACTCTAACACTACATTCTTAAACCTACCCCATACATCTTCGACCCCATTGCCTATGCTCTCACTAGCCCATCTATCCTCCTATAGTAATTTATATCTTACCCTAACTGCCTCCTCTTTTAGTTTACACACCTTCAACTCTCTCTTACTTGCTTCTTCTATTTTCCTTGTATCCCATCTACCTTTTACTCTCAGTGTAGCTACAACTAGAAAGTGATCTGATATATCTGTGACCCCTCTATAAACATGTACATCCTGAAGTCTACTCAACAGTCCTTTATCTACTAATACATAGCCCAACAAACTACTGTCATTACGCCCTATATCATATCTTGTGTACATATTTATCCTTTTTTTTTCTTAAAATACGTATTACCTATAACTAAACCCCTTTCTATACAAAGTTCAATCAAAGGGCTCCCATTATCATTTACACCTGGCACCCCAAACTTACCTACCACACCCTCTCTTAATGGTTCTTAATTACTCTATCACTTGGTTCAAAGGTTCCTATACATTCACTTAACATCTCCCAAAATCTCTCTCTTTCTCCTTTACACTCCTCCCTTCTCCATGTACATTCACGCTTATTTTATATATATATATATATATATATATATATATATATATATATATATATATATATATATAAATATATATATATATATATATATATATATATATATATATATATATATATATATATATATATATATATGTGTGTAATTCCATATAATCTTTTATACCTTAAATTGAAGAACGAAAAATTGACTGAGGAAGTAAAGATGAAAATAGAAACGAATTCGAAGTCTGATGACAAGAAGTTGGATATTCTGTTTTCTGAAGTTAGTTACGGCATCGAAATCAACGATTTTTTTGCAAAGCAGCACTTCTATAAGAAGAATGATTCTAACAATGGCCCAAACACTGTGAAGATGAAGCGCGAAGATGTGTCCAACATGTTGCCTGTTAGGTCAGTTATTCATCTTCTTTTGTCTAGTAATCTCGTTGGAGGGAGAGAGAGAGAGAGAGAGAGAGAGAGAGAGAGAGAGAGAGAGAGAAGAGAGAAGAGAGAGAGGAGAGAGAGAGAGAGAGAAAGAGAGAGAGAGAGAGAGAGAGAGAGAGAGAGAGAGAGAGAGAGGGGGAGAGAGAGGAGAGAGAGAGAGAGAGAGAGAGAGAGAGAGAGACAGAGAGAGAGAGAGAGAGACAGAGAGAGAGATGGCTCCAATTTCATCCTGTTCCCTACTTGTATGTCTCATAACAATAAAAATGATTTCAAATGAGCTGAAGTAGGTAACAGCTCTTTGCTTGCCAATAAAGTTAGGAATCCTTAACCTGTAAATAGCTTGTCAATAAAGCTAGGGATCCTTAACCTTGTCAAACCCTGTGTAAAAAAAAAAAAAAAAAAAAAAAGAGGAGAGAGAGAGAGAGAGCTCTGGAGTCTGGCGTTGTAGAAAAATAACTGCGAAGGTTCGAACTGTTTGCAGGTTCGAATGCTGATTTGTGTGTGCGTGTAAACATTATCTCTCAGGCCACATCAAGATTCGAACCTGCATACTCTACATCAAAGTACACAGTACTTTACCGACTTAGCCAGATCCCATTCTGCCTCTTGTTTATACTGGCTGCTCGGAAGATTCTGGCCGCCAGTTTAAATATGAGGACTTTCCTATTTGTGAGAAAAAATTCCGGCAGTGATCCCGTGACCATCCGCAGATTAAATCTCTTACACAGGACCCTGATAGGGAGTGGTTTTAGCATCCTGGAAGTAATACCGTCAGGCTTTGGAGGCAAAATGCGATATGTATTAAGCAAAGACATCTCCAGAGAATACTAGCATCTAGCCTGTTTCATGTTTTGTAACAGCTGTCATATAGCATCCTTGTCCAGTTATCCTGTAAATTTAGGTGGCTTCTCAATAGAGCTTTGAGGATACAACTGGAAGAGTACAAACCTACTGGGTAAAAGTTGAGATTTTCAATAACACAGGTGTCTAGGTCGCAATACTATTAAATTGAGCAAGCACCTCCTCTGTGTTCAACGGCTCTCCAATTCAGACTTTGTGATCTCACAGGAGACTGGTAGTTGTGTCCAGACCAGATGGCATAGAGAAAATTTTAAATCTGGAACGTGGCTACAAATTTCTCGATCATATATAGGCAATGGCAAATGCCTGTTCTGTTGCCCACGCTTCTTTGCTTTTGAGGGTCTTGGAAGTAATAAAAGCTGCCCGAGGCCCTCTCTGGTGTCCGTGTGGTTGGGGTTTTATGGTGGGAAGTAATCGCCTTCATTTGAGTGAGGATCCCTATATACATTTTGATCGTCATTTGAGACAAGGTTTTCTGAAGTTTGATCCAAGTCTTTTTCTCTTTTCATGGCTTTCCCAAATAGAAGCGTTTCCTCATTGACCCACCTAACATTAAGACTAACAGTTAAAATCCCTGCCTCATGATGGAACGAGACAAGGTATGCCCTTGCTTCATGGAGTCGTTTTCCCCAGTATCCCGAGAACGTGCGTCGCACTCAGGAGTGGTCGAAGATTGCTCATCAGCAATATCCTCATCCAGAAGGATGCCTGCCCTGTTAACTGCAGTTAACTCGTTCTGGCGGACGTTAAGAAGATGAGAGGATGGGTTGTCCGAGACTGTTAGTCTATCACTAGCAATATACGCCCTCGAGTGAGTTCCTAAATTCCATCGGGCAGAGGATGATTGAGACTATTTCCTCGTTTGCAGCTGCACGATCACTGCTCAAGACCATTTGCCAGAACCCAGCTCTGGGATGTACAGATGTCTAGCTGGAGATTACCTGCTAGGAACCTGCGTTCACCGGCCATTTTGCGAGGCAAGGGTCTGCCTTCAGTTCCCAGCGAGGGTAGAAACATTGGGCGTTTTTCTTTACACCGGCTGTCTATGTTCACACATCAGTAAAATGGGTAGATAGGAGTTAGTCGACTGGTGTGGGTCGCATCCTGGGACAAGGACCTAATTTGCCCGAAATGCTGTACATAACAAGCGGCTTTCTATATAGAAGTATGTCACTGATGTCAGTATACCATGCACAAGTACTTGTAGTAAATAAAGATATTATTATTATTATTATTATTATTATTATTATTATTATTATTATTATTATTATTATTATTATTATTACTGTTATTATTATTCAATAAAGCAAATTTATCAATACAAGAGACATTCTGCTGGCTGTCGCTTACTCTACGTCTACCACCGCCATAGCCATCGGGACTCCTGCTTCTGTTACTACTACTAGTACTACAACAACTATTACTACTACTAGTAGTACTACTACAACAATTACTACTACTACTACTTTTACTACTGGAACTACTAGTACAACTACTACTACTCCCGCCACCACTTCTTTCCCGGTCCATTACAATATTGTTAATAGGTCTTCTCTACTTTTCTTGTCTCACTTGTCATTCCTGGGAAACTTCACAATGATCCAGGAAGGAGTGAAACATTAACATAACGTTCCACTCCATAGTGCGAGTTTTTGCTGAATTTTTCCTGCCATCAACGTCTTGTTTTCTGTTACTTCCTCAATTTCATTCTGCAGTCCCATTTCCACAAGCGACATGATAGTTCTCCAAGAGTAATTTGAACTATACTGTATATTCACCTGTATGTGGTTTCAGGAGTCGTGTCTCAGCTCCTGGCCCCACTTCTCTGAGTTTACTCCTGGCTTCGAGAGTCTTATTGTACCTCTGTTTAAAGTTATGCAACTCCAACGTCCGGATCGTGTCCCCATCTTGTCCATTCTAAGACTGATGAAATATTTCTTAACATCTCTGTGGTTCATTTGTGCTTTCAACTTTCAGCTGTGCCGTAGTGTACCTGTTTCCCTATTCTCGAACAGTCTGTCCCTGTCCACAATATATATTCCTCTACGGGTTTTGCACTTTATCATTTCGTCCTTGTTCTTCTTTCCTCTGATGTCAACAAGTTTAGCATTTGCTGCAGCAGTTACTTAGTTAATGTGTGTGCCTCATTCCATATGTTCCATACTATGCTCACCCAAAGGCCCTTTCCCAAAAGTGAGGTTTGCAGCCTTTGCTTTCCCGATCTTGTACTCTGCTCGTGGTTTTTGATAGTTTTGCACGTGGTTGGGGCTATATTCTGGTAGACACTTGTCAGACAATACCTGCAGTCTATCCAAGTCCATTTGTTGCCTTTCCTAGTTCTCAGCTTTTTATATTCTACTAATTAGTTTCACATCATCCACGAACAGGGATTCTTACTCTATCTTTTCAGTCATGTCATTTCAAGGGTTCACAAGAAATGAGTGACCTTTTTCCGACTGAGCAATCCTTGTGGAAGTCCTGTCTTTCGTAACACTCGCCAATCCTGACTCTCTATCCAATTTCCATTGCTTCCTTTCAATTTAAATATCATTTTAATTTACGTAATGCTTCCTTTTATCCCGCGGGTTCTCTAGCTTCTTGTCAAGTCTTATTTGAGGTACTCAGTAACCAGGCCTGACAGTCCTTGTGGTCTACCCTTCCTCGTCTCACCTGCCTTCACTTTAATAAACTTTGTTACTTAAATTAAAATCTTTTAAGTTTTGTATGCCTATCCGATTTCCTTACCTAAGCTCTCCGAGTTATGTTATTGAACAGCTTTCTGAATTTAAATCTGAGAATTCCCGTTTCTCTCTTCCATTCTGGATAACTGACAAGACAAAAATTCTCTAGTGTGAAACTTTTAAACTTACCTAAGTTGTTTTTTTCCGGTTTGATTTTACATCTGAGATTACATAGTCATCCCTTCATTTCTGAGACTGCAAGCTTTCTCTGTGAATTAGCATACCTAATTTTCTCTTTTTCTTCTCCATCAGTACTTAGAATTTCCCCTCCCAGCTTCTCTCAAACTTTCGAGGTGAGTGTGTGTGTTTGTGTCGTGTGTGTGTACTCACCTATTTGTGGTTGCAGGGGTCGACACATAGATCCTATCCCCGCCTCTTCACTGTTTGCTACTAGGCCCTCTCTCTCCCTGCTCCATGAGCTTTATCAGACTTCGACTTAAATATGTGTATAATTCCTGGTTCCATTACGTCACTTCCTGACAACTCTATGACTGAAGAAATATTTCCTAACATCCCTTTGACTCATCTTAGTCTTCAGCTTCGAATTGTGACCACATGTCTCTGTGTCCCATCTCTGGAACATCCTGTGCTTATCCATCTTGTCAATTCCTCGTAGCATTTTATATGTCGTTAACATGTCTCCCCTAACCCTCCTGTCCTCCAGTATTGTCTAGGCCGATTTCCTTTAAAACTTCATCGTAGGACATTCCCCTTAGCTCAAGGACTAGTCGTGTTGCAAACCTTTGCCCTTTCTCTTATTTCTTGACGTGCTTGACCAGTGTGGATTCTAAACTTGCTCTGCATACTCCAACATGGGCCTGACGTACATAGTGCACAGAGTCTTGAACGATTCCTTGCTGAGGTATCGGAATACTATTCTTAGGTTTGCCAGGCGCCCATATGCTGCAGCAGTTATCTGGTTGATGTGCACCTCAGGAGATGTGCTCGGTGTTATACTCACCCTAAGATCTTTTCCTTGAGTGAGGTTTGCAGTCTTTGGCCACTTAGACTGTACTCTGTATGTGGTCTTCTTTGCCCTTCCCCGATCTACATGACTGCATTTTCGGGGGTTAAATTTAAGAAGCAAGTTGCTGGACCAGGCTTGCAGCCTGTCGAGGTCTCTTTGTAGTCCTGCCTGATCCTCGACCGATTTAATTTCCCTCATTAACTTCACATCATCTGCAAAAATGACACTTATGAGTGTATACCTTCAGTCATGTCACTCACATATATCAAAAACTGCAAATGTCCTAGGATTGACCCATGTGGAATCCCGCTCGTCACAGGCGCCCACTGTGATACCTCGTCACATACCATGACTCGTTGTTGCCTCCCTGTCAGGTATTCTCTTATCCATTGCGGCGG